TATCTGGTTATTTCGATTCCGTCTTCTGGACACAGACAGTCTTACAGGAATGCCACGCCGAGAACGCCATCCGTCACGCTGTGGTCGCTCTTGGGGCTCTGTACAAGACCCTGGAACAATCTTGCGAGTCCCCGCCGGGCTCGCCATCCGATGTCATGAACCCCATGGATGGCGCATATCGACATTGGGAAGTAGCAATCAAGCAGTACTCAGAGGCCATCAACGCACTCGTCCAGCTCCACCGTGACCAGAAATCGCATCGAACTCTGCTCATGGCAAGTGTGCTGTTGGCTTGCTTCGACTCGTTCGTCGGGGACCATCGCCAAGCAATTCGACAAATCCAGACTGGCCTCAGCCTACTGGAGAAGCTGCGGGCCGAGCGAAGGAAATCATTCGTCCCTCTCTCCGAGGAGCCTGTTGAGGAAGAACTGGTCAAAATGTTCACAAGGCTGGCCATCCAAGCCAAGTCCTACGACATGGCATTCCACTTCCCCGAGCCTTACGTGATTCGGCTTACGCCCCAAACTCCCGAGCTCCCCCAGTCACCCCCTTCGGACGCCGGCAGCTCACCGTCATCCATGAGCTCATCCTCGATGCCAGAACAGTTCTTCAACCTGATGGAGGCACGCATCGCTTGGGACAAGCTTCTCGAGAAGATGCTTCGCTTTACCGAAACCTTGTTCACGTATCAAAAATCAACAGGCGCGAACGGTCCTATGGGTATTCTGCCCAAGTCATTGAAGCAGTATGGAATGAGCTTCAAAGGGCAACTAGACGGTTGGTCTGAAGCATTTGAGTACCTCCTCGAATCCCGCACAGCACCCGGCGTCAGCCATCAAGAGAAGGCCGGCATCGCAGTCCTCAAGATGTTCCAAATCATGAGCCAGATTTTGTTTCTCATGACATACAGCGACAGCGAGTCACAATTTGACGTTTTCCAGCCTCATTTCAAGGCCATTGTCGATCTTGCTTCTGAAGTGGTGGGCGATGAAGAGAGACGAGCGGCAGCCAAGAGGTGTCCCGATCCCTCGCAGTGTACTCACCGTCACAATCATACCCCGGATATCTTTGGCGGCCACGAGTACAATACTTTCCACATCAAGCCCAGCTTCAGCGCCGATTTGGGTATTGTCCCGCCCTTATTTGTGGTTGCCACCAAGTGCAGACATCCCGTTATCAGGCGACAGGCCATCCAGCTTTTAAGAAGCAGCGCGCGGCGGGAAGGCATGTGGGACAGCGAGCTCACAGCGCGAATCGGGCAATGGGTTGCAACGATTGAGGAGGAGGAGCTTCTGTCTTCACCGTCTCCCGAAGCGCGTGTCTCTCAAGCCGGCGCCAACGGAAGACACGGATCAGTGGACTTTGGCGAGGATATCCCGCTGGGACCCGGCGGCAATGCCCGTTGGGATGCTCGAAGGGATAGTGCGATTCCCGGACTGATCAAATCGAAGCGGTCTGTCCCTGAAGACAAGCGCGTCATGGTCCGGGCGGTGGACTTTGACCTGAGGGCTAGGTTTGCCAACCTCCAGGTCGGCACCCGTGGCATCATCACCGGCATGCCAGACATGCGGTCTCGTGTTACCCATATCACGTGGTAGACCACTGCCTGAGAGCAAGAAGAGAACATGAGGAAGATGTTGAAATGGTCATATTTGCGTTTGATTTTTGTATTGGATATACCCCCGGCGATGTGCAAAACACAAGTGGTCATAGGGCCGTTTCTGGATCTCTTCTCTACGCAACTACGACAAAAAGTCATACGATCTGATGATTCATGGGAGTATCAAAGCGTTGTTTTTGTCATAGGAACGGGAGAGCACCAGGGCCGGCAAGGCTGTGGGTTTCAAGCAAGGAAGGGAGCGATAGCGCTGCATTTAAGAGGAGTTGTATGGTCACGAAAGACAGAACAAAACACACCAAAGGGGTCAAAACTGGGACTGCGCAAGCAATAATAGTCAACTTGTTGGTCAATCAAGACGATGACACGGCACTATTATATGCACCCGAAAGACGTACTTGACTAATTTCTACGATGATCTGGGCTGTGATGGTGAGCTGATATCTAGATGTTTGAAGGCCAAGGTAGAGACATGCTACCTATCAGCGAATGGCCGGTAGAATCCGGAGGCGTATTGGACTTATACCACCTGTCGTCATTCACGGACCACGTATACCCATTCCGAGCACGGACTCCCGCAGCTGACAAGTTGACAGGCGGTAGGTGTGCTATCTGAGTTCTGCACCGCCCGGGGAGCGTCATCGTCCGGTCGTCCGGGACCATGTGGGCCCTTGTCGGAGCCGGTGGTCGGTGATGTGTATCCGCTTTCTTCCGCGAACATACCGGGCTAGGCGGGCACGCGGGGGAAGGGCTCCGCGCTCGTTAGTGGGACGTGATAGCTGTGTATCCGAAGCTTCCAGTGATTCCTCGTTTTCGCAAGTGTCTATCTAGTCCCATACCTCGACAAGTCCGTGACGGAATAGTCTCCGGTCATACATCCTACCTACCAAGCAGCCTTTTCCACCACTATCACCTCAGCCACCACTCTCCCTTCAAAAGGAAAATTTTTATTAGTCATATGCTACATTATGTTATTTTCAAAAACGTTGTCGAGATACTAGGTAAGTAGTTTAGTCATCACAGTGATAATGATGATGCCAAGGGAGTATGGATGCGGTGAGCGGAAAGCTATTCTGTCGCCCACTTGCGCGTGATCGTGGACGTGAGCCAGGGGAGAGAGGACCCCTCGCGTGTGAACTCCAGTCAAAAAAGACTCAAGGTACGATGGGGGCAATCTCAGATTTCTCTCGGACTCTTGGAGGCTCAGACCTTGAAACTGGTCGTCTGTCTCCTAGCAACCGTTTGGGGGTTTTTTGCTAGGATGATGCCAGTGAGAGTAAGAGATGGTAGAGTTTTTTCCTTTTCGGCTACGGTGACATTCCGTCGGTTGGGATGGGGTCCTTTGGTTATGCCGTTTTACTGTGCGGGATGATGCCGGTCTTGATTTATCTGGGCGAAAGGAGATGGACTTTATAGTTCCTGCCATGTTCCTCCCGATTCCCAAAGCAACTGTTATGCTGCTGCTGCTGCTTGACTCCCTGAGCAGTGATTCGAATGGCGGAAGGGCGGACGCTTGCTCTTAACATGAACTTGGCATGTATTCAAGGCACTCGCAATGAGCGTTCTTCTTTTTTTTTTTTTCTCTTCCTGGGACTGACTAAAAGGTAGCAGACGCCTCAGACATGAAGGGCCGAACGAGTAAGAGTCTCCTCAAGGGTAAACAGAGAGACGAATAGTACACAGACACGCGGTGGTCAATTTTCACACCCAGGTTATAGAGCGCCATCGACGCAGGCCCTTAGCATTGTAATTTGACCTCGGCGGGACAAGACGATGGCAGCGAGGGGCGGTAACGAATATCGGACCCCTCAGTGGATCACTGTTTGTCATGAGAGAACAGAGAAGAAGAAGAAGAAGAAGAAGAAGAAGAAGAAGAAGAAAAAAAGGAGAAAGTGCGAGCAATGAGCAACGGAACACTCCATAGCGCGGCTAACAATATTGGACAATGAGAATGCATGAAATAACCATTTGGGCTTGACAGCGGTTTCCCAGTTACGGTAGCGGATACACGGGCAGTTGCCGCCTTTTAGCGTGGGTGAGCGGTGACACGAAAGCAGAATGTGGGTAGTGGTGAAGGAAAAAAAATTGACGATCTAGAAGCAGCCAGCTCGAAATTGCCATATGAGTGGGGGGAGGGGTTGTTATTGTTTTCTCCCAGTCTATTCAGAATTTTCGTTGATGAGGTGAAGCTTCATGGAAGATGGTTGTTCAGAGAGGTTCCATTGCGGATGAGACCCCGCTAGGGGTCCAGGCACGGCTGCTCGGGCTTCGACTGGAGGACCCTCCCATTGGGTCTGAATTTTTTTTTCTTTATCTTCAGCGTTTGAGCGGAAGCTTAACGCGATGCCATGAAGATACTGCGTGAGAGACACATGTGGTATGATGTGGTTTCTGTTAGCGGTAAGCACGTTCAAGGCACGCTTGAGTTGTATTCTTGGCGATACTCTTTATACACATTCCCAATTGAGTTTGGATCCCAAAGATTCAAGGACCGACAGCAAACGAAAAAATAAAATAAAAAAATCACCCTTGTAAACGAAGTGCAGTTCTGGTCCAATGGATCCGCCAAAAATCCTCCGCCTGGCGCCAATTGGATGCGTCTGGGAGTTCCAAAAAGTTCGAGATCAACAGGGACGTGGGGACACGATCCAATGACATCAGTCACCGCCGCCCAAGTGCGCAACAGCCAGTAAAGACTGCAGCTTTTGTCCTCCATCCTTGAGAGCTGGCGTCACAGGCAACACACAGGAAACCCAAACAAGCACAAAGGTGACGAGAGAGATGCAGGCGACCTGTTTGAAAATTTTCTTCATTTTTTTCCTCCCGTCTCCTTTCTCTCTCCCTTTTCTGTTTGTTCCTGGGCCAAACTGGCGTCACGGCGCCTCTGCTCCTCTGCTGTGACCCATTCACCCCTCCCCTTGCTCCTCTTCCCCCACGTATTCAGAACCACAGGTCCCTTTTTAAACAGAAAATTTCACCCATCCAAGCAGAGGAAAACAAATAAACAATAGCAGAGTATTCGTACATGTACCTACCTAAGGTACCTTGCCATAGATTTGATAAGCTGCCCAGGTTCATACCTTGAATACCTTACCTTTAGTACTTAAGACATTGTTGCCCCTTGTGCCGCCCACCCCTCCTCCACTTACTTTTACTTGCTTCTGAACAAATCCTTTGCGACTCAGGCTAATTAACAACCCCGCCAACTTTTTTTTTTTTAATCACTACCCCGCCACGAAAGAAAGTTGAAAAATCTCACAGCACCCTTCTCGAGATTTCTTCCTTTTGACGTTTTCACTCACTCCTTCTCACACTCCATCACATATCCTTTACCCTTCCACATAAATACACACACACACACAACACCGCCAAAATGACTGAAATGGTTGAGACCGGTGTCACCTACGAGCAGCTCGCTGATCTCGAGCACGAGTTCGAGATCGTTGAGAACGAGATCGGTATGTTTTGATTCCATCTTGCGCAAAACCCTCACATCCTGCAAAATTCATCATCTTCTTTTCTCGTCTTTCTTTTTCCCTTTTACCTTTTTCTATTTCAGCTAACGCCCCTGCCCAGTCCGCAAGCAGTACGAGCTCTCCAAGCCTCTGTACGAGAAGCGCGCCGCCATCGTCTCCAAGATCCCCAACTTCTGGGCCCTCGTCTTTGAGCAGTCGCCCCCCGAGGTCGACGAGCACATCCAGCCCTCCGACGCCGCCCTGCTCCTCTCCTCCCTCAAGAACATCTCCGTCTCCCGCCCCGAGATTGAGAACAGCTCCGGCGGCGACCCCCGCTCGCTGACCATCCGCTTCGAGTTCAACGAGAACGAGTACTTTGAGGACTCGGTCGTCGAAAAGACCTTTTGGTACCGCCACTCCGCCACCTACACCGGCCTCGTTTCCGAGCCCGTCGACATCAAGTGGAAGGCCGGCAAGGACCTGACCGAGGGCCTCCTCTCCGCCGCCAAGAAGGTCTGGGACCAGGGCCCCATCACCCCCGGCAAGCTCACCCCCGAGGCTGAGGCCCTCCGCAAGAAGGTCGAGGAGACCGCCATGGGTGGCGTCTCCTTCTTCTCCTTCTTCGGCTACGTCGGCAAGCGCATCTCCGCCGAGGAGAGCAAGGCCGCCCTCGCCAAGGAGGTCAAGGAGTTTGAGGACCGCAAGGCCGGCAAGAAGGCCGGCGAGGAGGCCGAGGAGGAGGGCGACGAGGACGAGACCGAGTTCGAGCTCGAGATCTTCCCCGACGGCGACGACGTCGCCGTCGCCATCGCCACCGACCTGTGGCCCGAGGCGCTCCACTACTTTAGTAAGTTCCTCCGCGACGGTGCCGTCGCTGCTGAAGGACAAGATGGAGACTTACTCTCAATGATAGCCCAAGCCCAGGAGGCCGGCGAGCTGTCCGATTGCGAATTTGAGTCCGACGATGAGGAGGATGAGGATGAGGAGATGGGCGACGCCGAGACCACCCCCAACAAGAAGCGCAAGGCTTAGATTGATGACCACCGACGACGACGACGACAACACAACACACCCCAACACACACGCGCATGATGATGAACTTTCTTAATATTAGACAAAACCTGGTGATACCATGATCGAGTCCCCCTCATAGAGGAAGAGGGAGGGACTTCTGAATCCAAAAAGTTTTCGTTTGTTATACCACTATACTTGTCCCTATTACTACACTCTGTGACCTTATTGTTCATGTCTGCGGCTGAGAGATATTGACCTTCTCCGATGACCTCAGCTTTTCGTTTGCCGGTGTGCCTCTGTCCTGCCCCGATAAGGAAGGTCTCGCTACTGTCTGCCCAAGTTCATGTATGCCATGCGCGGAGCTAAGCTCCGCAGCGCCGTGTTCTGCGGGTAACTCGACGGGGTTGAAGTGATCGGTATGTTCCTCATGGAGCGTGTTGATCCCGGCCGGCCTCTTACGTCCTATGTACCCCTCGTCGGGCTTCTGGGATCCTGGGGGTGTGCCGCCGGCCTCCTGCTGCGGTGTTGCCTGGTATCGTCTTTTCCTTTTCAGGAAGAACACTGCGAGGCAGATGACGAGAACGAGGCCTGCAAAACCGCCAACGGTGGCACCTACGATGGTACCAACAGGCGGCTTGGATGACTCAGAACCTTGCGCTGTCGAAGTTGCGCTGCTCGTACTGGATCGTCCAGTGGGAGAGGGGTCTGATGTCGAGTTGGGCGCAACTGTTGTTTGGTGAGTATCTCGCCCTTACACACGCACAGTCTGATACGACGTCACGCTCACTTACGCTCAGAAAACAAGGGTCTGACCTCTTCACTCGCCCAAGCGACGGAATCGAGTCCCCCCTGTGCATACCACTGCTTGACTAGGTCTGGCGACTCGTACGGCTGCGCCTGAGAATCGTACCGGTCCAACCAAACCATCTCCGTCATGTCAAAGATGCCCAGCCCGAGACTCCATGGGTCTGGGTCTGTCAGCGAATTAGGGAAACCTAAGGACGCGTCTGTTCCGCCAATGGAGAGCATCTGGCGGCCTCCGCCGGCCACGACGACGCAGGTGTGGTCCGCCCGACGGATCGACGAGCCGGTCGCCTTGAAGAATACGAACCCAGGCAAGCTTAGGACGTAGACCTCGCCAAAGGTTTGATCTGTGCTCCAGCTGCGGCCGCCGTAAAAGAAGCTGAGTAACGTACTAGCATTAGTTTCTACCGCTTATGAAGATCAAGCGAGATGATGAAATACGTTTCTCCTACATCTCGTACGTGTTATTGGTGCTGGAAGCACCCACAACACAAAACTTTCCTCGTCTTATCGGTCTGGCGCCTGCGGTTTGTTGAGTATACCACTTGTCGGCTGAGTAAGTGTCAGTGCCTTGTTGAGAGACGCGCCGCCAAGGTAGTTTACTGACTGCTGGGATTGTACAAGGTGACCTTGTTAAAGTCCAATTCCTTGTACCCTGACAAGAACATTTGCGACTCGCCTCCACCTAAGAAGAGCAGCAGTCCGCTGGATCCAAACGGCACAAACTGTGCTGAACCCTCTATCATGGTTCCGTACTGGCCGAACCCAGTTGTTGACGTATTTTTAATCTCTCCGGAAGTCATGTTGTAAGATACTAGTCCGGGAATGGCGATGTTTTTACCAGAGACGGAGGTATCAGATAGTCGGTTCGCATACCCGCCAAAGTAATATCCTACGTCCTTGCTCTGGGTGAAAGAGGCCTCTGCAGAGCGCACAAGCTGGGTGAAAGCGACGACGCTCGTTGGTGTGATTTGCGACCAGGTCCCGCCACCGTTCCCGTCCACTTCGAAGCGCCATATCTCGTTTGGCGGGGGGATGCCGGTATAGGACATCATGCCGCCCCAGACATAGAACGCATTTGAGGATGGGTCGCGCCACATAGCCTGCTTATTGAACGTGGCCCCTTTTTTGGGAGTGGAAGTCATCGTGATGCTAGAGTTGGTCCATGAGCGCTTGAGACTGATGGAGAGTGTCGAGTTGACTAGAGAGAAGTTAACGTTAATGGCCTGTCTTCATCCAAATTCCAGAGAGACTTCAATCTTACCTGCCCACGACGGGTGGTTGGCGGCCGTCCCATTTTTCCCGTTATACAGTTGTGATACCTCGCCGCCATCTATATACACATAATCACCTATGACAATCGCTGCTGAAGTCAGAACACGAGGCTCGGTCATCATGGGTTTCGTGAAGGTGTACGACATACCGGAGGGGAAGGCTCTCCTCAGAAAAGCAGACGGAGACGGAGCGTCATCGCGTACTATCAGCCTCGAGCTTCCATAGGGGCTCCAGCACCGCGCTAAAACCACCAACCAAGAGAAAATGAAGAGGCTTGAGCGACGCATCGATGGGGAGAATTTTCACACGCCCGGAGTGGCCTCTATGAGTGATGAGGAAAGAGCAAGAAAGGCCGCGATATCTTCAACAGTCTGAAGTAGGAGGATGGGGGAAAGAATATCAGGGGGAAGCATCAGAATGTCCTGACGGCCTCCAGGAGAGGCCTCATCAGCTCAGAGGAACTTGACCTCAGCCGCTGTCTGCAGGCTTCTATCTCTTGATCCGACACGCCACCTATAACTCCGTATGACTAGACTGGAGAGCCTGCTGCAGTAGCTCACGGCAGGTATTCTTCGCCCAATGATTGACTTCTGGCTATATGTATTGCCTGTGAAGCTTGGATACAGATGTCAGTCCTGGCAGAATCCTTCACCATCGAGGCTGCGGCGGGGAGGATGAGGCAAGCCAGATGTCAGACGAGAAGGCTGTCGTTGTTCAGTCATTTAGGAGCCTGCCGAGCGCTGGACGAAGGCTTGCACCTGGTCGGGGAATGATCGCCATCGTGAGCATGCCTTCGCAATCCTTCTGACGGTGACTTTGATAGCATTGTCAAGCGCAAAATGCAGAATGCGGCAGTGCAAGTGGATAGCTCGGATGAAGTTGAAGACAGCTAGATGAGTCTTGTAATGGACGATAATACGGGTGGTTATTTAAGCTTAAGTTTCGTGGCAGGGACTGCCTCATCGGCCCCTTGCTCTTTTCTAGGAACTTTGGCTTGAGATCGCCTGCAGCACTTTCCGAGGTCAAACGGGCGGAAGGGTTCATCAAGTATTGTGGAGCTTGATCACGACGTCTCAAGCCGAGTTTCCTGGGCATGTTCTTGCGCAAGATACAAGATACCTGCCTAAGATACCTTGGGTAAGGTAGGTAGCCTTTGCCTGCGAGCCTGCCTATCTGCGGGCGTAAGCAAGACTAAGACCTGGCCATGAGGCCAATCTCGACAAAGTCCTGTTCCTTAGAGAAGACACCCGGGTGCCGACGAAAAATGAAAATAGAAGGTGCCTACTGTCTTCACCGGCAGCTTGGCCTGGCTCTTGTCGATGTGTTCATTTTCATGTCTACGATGGTGGGGTGTTGTTATCCCGTAACATCTGACTGAGATATCCTGCTCACTGGCGGTGACTGAAGGCCGGGGACATCAAGCACCTCGTTCGGCTAAGCCTTATGGTACACATTACTATGCTTGAGTCTTCGCGTGTGGCCGTGGACATCGTATCGTCCTCCGATTTCATCGCCTTTCGCGTTCAAGCCTCAAGACCGAAGGCGCACCCACCCTCTCTCAGGTATGAGAAGGTCCACCCACTACTTCAGTCGTATTACTAACACAACCCTAGCGACAGCGAATGGGCTTTTGGATTTCTCAGCCTGCGAATCGAACGGATCTGGATTCCATGTTGTCTTTCTGGATCCTGTGCGAAGTACATGCAGACTTGCATTTCATTGCAGACAGGGCTCGGGTCTCGGCCAACGACCTCCCCGGGCCGGTAGATCACGGCGACCGAAGACCATGGAACAGCGGGGATTTCGGCGGACAGTGTCGGAGGTATCTGTCTACAACTCTCCGGTCCGTCCTTGTCTTTCGGCAAAAGTTGGGTTTTGTCTGATGTATACCCGACTACTAGCACCACCTGAAAACTACTCCGTTGCACCGTTATTAGTTATTCAGTCTTTAATTGTCAGACGAAAGTGGTGGGTGGCATCCAAACCCAATCCTCCCCCAACGCTGCGATGACGTCAAAAGTCTGGGGAATTGGCTGTGTAGAGTTTAGGTGATGTGCACCACAGACCCCCTCGCAGGGTCGCCGCGCGGGAACCACTCCGACTTACCCGAATCTAGCCATCCTATGGGAACAGCTCCGTTTCTTTACCACTCGCGCTCGCCCTTTCGCGTGTGCCTCATTTGTAAGCGGGCGTATGGTCCCGGGGGTCTTGCATAGGTTCGATCCCCCCTGTCTTTGATACATATTAAGGTTCAGTCACGGCCTTTACCGTTCCCACGATGTCATGGCGATGCTTATCTCTAAGTAAAATGAGATTGTCACCCGCGGTTCCCAAGAGAATCTCAAAACAAGTCACATATCTCAGAACCCCCATCTTCCCATACAACCAGGCCAGAGCTATCAACATGGCGACAGCATACAAGGTCAAAGTTCCGGCGACGAACACGGGATTGTGGAAATTTGAGCAGAAAGATGCTACCGCAAGTAAGGTGTCTGAGTTGCTCCAAGAGGATCTCGAGGTATGGACAAGTCGCTTCTTACATCAGAGTCAGCCGGATGCTAATATTGCACAGAAACATCATGTCTTCTTCAACCAAGAAGGCTTCCACAACCACGTAAGCTCTCCAATACTCGGATCACAGCATAGCCAGCCACTAACATCATTCCAGATCCCCCACCAAGTCCTAGCCCTCTTCGGCACCGGCGCTGGCCCGGACGCCATCCAGATGGCTTACAAGGAAAACGCAAACTACCAGCGCCCAGCCCAGACCCCGCGCGACTCCGTCGCAGATGAGCTGCACGACTGGGACCGCGCCAAAGGGTACCTCGGTAAGGAGAAGCACTACCCAGACTTCCTCCTCTTCTTCCAGCGCGAGATCGAGAGGCTCGGGGGCTGGGAGACGGCGCTGAACGAGCACCTCTTCAAGGGCGACGAGCGCGCCGACGACATGTTCCAGCGCATGTTCTCCGGCTTCTTGCACCCCATCATCCAGCTCATGTACGGCGTCGAGTGGGAGCAGCCCGCCATCGTCGCCGAGGGGCTGGCGCAGGCTGCGGTACACAACAACCAGCTCAAGGACTTTTTCAATGAGACGGAGAAGCGTGCGGCGGCGGCTGGTGGTCCGATGCCGCTGATTTCGGATCTTGTTGACGAGATTCGTCGGGACCAGAAGCTTGCTAAAGCTGCTGAGATGAAGGATGCGAACAAGATCTTTGACGGGGTCCTGAAGCGAGCGCCGGAGGAGATGCTGCGGATCGCGAGTAAGGTCAAGGTTCGTCCCGAGGAGTTGGATGAGAGGACGGCCGAGATGTTTCATAATGCATTTCATGTTGCTGGCGGCGCGGCTCTTCGGCCGGGTAAGGAGCCAAAGTGGGATTTCTTCTTGATGTGAGTTGATCTTCCTTTTTTTCAGTTTTCAATTTTGTGAAGGCTGGCAGCGACAACGACAAAAGAGGCTGATATCGTGAAATAGACACCACACGAACGCGGCGCCCATCTTCCTCAGCTTCAACTCCAAGCCGTGGATATCGACGGAAAACAAGGTGCGCATGCTGGAGTACAAGATTCGGATGGACCTGGTGCAGTACGCGGCGCGCGGATGTCCGCCGCTCCGTCTGGAGGATGTCAAGTCGTATAGGCCAAAGGACAAGGATGAGGGCAAGAGCTTGGTCTCCAAGCCGACTGGTAAGATGCCTTATTCGAAGCACTCAGAATAGTGGCTGACTAGCTCTGCAGATCTCCTTCCAAGATTTCATGAGATTGTAGATGACGGCCATACCATCAAGGTGGTCAGGGCCATTGGGATTTGCCAGGAACTTTCATCAAAGTACGGCGACAAACCTTGGATCAAGATCAAAGATGACCAGTGGCTCAACCTCACCTACATGTTGTTGGACAGTACAGAGCATGATGAGACGAGATGGGTTCGCTCAGCGGGCTTTGAAGAGGCGTGGAAGGTAAGCCGACAATATTGACCATACCTATGGTGTACACCTAAGGAACTAACCCTATTCGCAGGATGTTCCTGCTCGCGATTGACTAGCCGACGGCGGTAGGAAGGCATCGAGGCTCTAGAAGGATAAAATGGCGATGACAAGAGTGCAACAGTAGCAAAAATTATGGCAGCTTGACAAAACGGGGGGTATACATTTGTAATAACATCTATGATTTTATTCTAGCCCAATCCACTCATCTCCGTCGGAATCACTCTGGCCCTCCTCCGCGTCGCCAATCGCCAAAGTCTTAGCGGGGGCGTCGAATGCGGCCAAGTCTAGCATTTTTACACCGCTCGTCGCCTCATTTTCATTGCTAGCCTGACCCAAAAGGTAGTCCACCATGTACACGTTATCGTCCGCGAGCCTCCTGATCTCGTCGCGCATCCTCGAGACGGCTCTCGCCACGATTCTCAGCTCGACATCCACCTTGCCCCTGTGCTGCGTGAGCCAGGCGCCGTGCTTGTCCACGAGCGCCTTGACCCAGAGCAGGCAGAACTCAATATGCGGCGTCTCCTCCGTCTGGGCCGCGACAAAGCGCAGTAACCTGGGAACGTAGACGATGGGCATGTCCTGGACGACCAGGGCGATGTCCGTGTGCGGTATTGAGAGGAAGACACGCTTGATGAGGCCGGCTTCGTTGAGGCGGAAGGCCATGACCAAAGCCTTGAGGTAGTCCTTTTCGTTCTCCAGGACGGCGAGCGTGGACGCGGGGGTGATTTCCATATTGAGATCAAAGGGGTCGAACTGCATGAGGTTGTCGAGGCTGTAGATGAGCAGGCCTTCCGTGGTGGCGGCGCAGAAGGCTGTGCCGGTGGGCGTGAATGCCACGCCCGAGACGCGGACCTCTGGCATCCTCTTCCTCGCGGAAGGGTCGCCGCGCTTGGAGCCCGGCAGCGAATCATCTCTCCTGTTCTCGGGGTCTGAGGCCTCGCCCTGGTCGTCGATCAGACCGCCGGGGCCGGCCTCAGTGAGGAGCTTGCTGTTGAGGAACTCTTGCGTTCCGGACAGAGACAGGTTGACACTGACTGTGTACTTCTTCAGGAGAACCATTGTGTGAACAGAGTACAGGCAGATGTACTTGCTGTTGCCACCGGCAAGCAAGCAGCTTCCGTCTGTGCTGTATCGAATGGTGTTGAAGCTCTTTGTGCCCGCCACATTGGCGGCTGTCCTCCGGTCAGTGAGCTTGCGTCCACCAGAAACGTCGCGACGGCCGTCCAGCCCAGATACCTGCTCGGCATCTGTGACAGACCAGAAAGACAGCTGGCCATCTAAAGTCGAGATCGCCAGTTGCAGAGAATCAGGGCGCACAGCGATATCGAGGATATCGGCCTGCAGCTGCAGAGGCTCGCTCGTTTGCGTTCTGTTGAAGATGGACCAAATTCTTGCGGTACGGTCCCAGCTACCACTGATCAGGGAGTTGCCGTTTGGTGTGAAGGCCAGGGCCGACACGGGACCCTCGTGACCGGTGAGCTGATCCAGAAGCTGTCCCGTTTGAACCGACCAAATATGGATGTCAAAAGAATCCAGAGATCCAGCTGCGACGACCTCGCCGCTAGGGTCAACGGCCATACATGACCATGACAGCCTCGTTGGCGCTGTGAATGTGCGGAAGTTTCTGTATCTGATGAGATCCCAGGCTCTTACGGAGCCGTCCAGACTGGATGTGAAGAGAACGTTGCCCTTCTTTGAGAACTCGCAGGCCGTAACACCACTCGTGTGCTCTGTGAAGGTCACGATGCAGAAACCTGATTCAGTATCCCAAACCTTGATCTTGCCGTCGTCGGCGATGGTGACAATGCGTTGACCGTCTGGAGAATAGACCAAGTTGTTCATGGAGTCAAAGTGGCCCTGCTGCTTCAGGATGTATGACTCGGATTGCCACTCCCACACCAAGAGTTGCCCAAGCTTCGATGCGCCAAAGGCTAGCCACTCTCCGCTCTTGTTGATCGTCACAAAGTCGATATCGTTTTGGGAGATGTTGAGGGTGTGGATCATGTTGAAGTCGGGCATTTCGTAGAGACCAAATGTTCCGTTGGAGAAACCGGCGACGAGAAGGTTGGACTCGGGGTGGAAGGTCGCGCATCGGACATGCGCACTGTTCTGCATGAAGTAGTGTCGGTCGACAATCCTCCAGCGCATGTCGTCCTCGTCCTCGTCCACCATCTCGTCTTCATCCTGAACCGGCTTTCCGACGTACTTCCAGTCGAACACAGCACCATCCTTGCTGACGGTGTAAATGGTTTCCTGGTCTTCTGAAAACCAGGCCCCCACTACTGCCTGCTTGTGTCCCGAAAGTACCGTCGGTACGAAACCCTCCTCACGATCCAAACTCCATATTCTCGCGGTCAAGTCTTTGGAGGTACTGAGGAAGAATCGCGAGTCGCTGGACCACTCGATGCTGCGCACCTCGTCAAAATGTTGTGTGTGGGTGTGGTGCTTCACAAACGGAGCGAACTCGAGTTCCCCTTCGGCGTTCGCATCTGGCGTGGACGGCACATGCCAGACCTCGATCTTACGGCCCAGACCGACGACGAAATGGCGTCCGGAGGGCGAGAAGGAGAGGGCGGTGACAGAAGAGCGGAATGAAAATCGATAGATGGGGATTCGGCGAAGGACGTTGGTCAGAATGGCCTGGCCATCTTCGTCAATGGATAGCAGCAAGTTTCCTCGAGGAGTGAGGCCGATTCGCGAGATGTTTTTTCGGTGCGCAAAGGGGAGTGTATGTGATTTGTTACTGACAAAAGATTAGCTTGGGAATATTCGAATTGCGCCGACTGTCGGGGCTAGACATACTTCACCAGGTCGAAGACAGTAACCCTGTTCCCCACGGGCGAGAACAAATGGGTGCCATCTGGGCCGAAGAGCAGGTTGCCCTGGCAGTATACCGTGCCGAGCAAATTGGAAAACTAGGAATTGAAGCCTCGATTAGAATCGCATGCGGATTACGGGAAAATCTTGCAAGACCTACCTTAAAATCGGTCTTCATTGTCAATTGGCACCCATTCCCTCACCTTGAAGCTACAGAAATTCTCTCCAACCCAAAGATTTTCTTATCGATTGAAGGCGCGCTCTGCAACTTTTTGGCGGGGTCGGGGAATCATTCATCCTAATTTCCGCGGTCTATTCTCCTCCGGGCTAGACAAACTGTTGGTGAAAGTGCCAGGGGGAGAGAGGGGAATGATTGGCAGGAAAAGGGGGTCCTAATTAGTCCCCTGCGACTGGCCCAATGAGTGTGCACCACCCAACCCCAGAAGGCCGAAAGGGAAATTTGGAGGTGGCACCTTTTGATTCCCCTGAAGCACAAGCTCAAACCTCCCCAACTCAACCGTCAACACGCCCACACCGCAACCACATCACGGAAACAGTCGCGCGTTCAATTGCGATTCTTGCGGCCAACGACCCTCTCACAGGCATCAAATCTCGAGTTTAGAGTCGTTCAATCGTCAATACCGCCCAAAATGGCCCCCGCCGCCGCCGAGAGCGCTTCACCGATTGGTATCGCCAACCTCCCTAACCAGCGACACAAGATTGTCGCCAAGCGAGGTGCTGCCTTCACTATTATGGTATGTTCATTCTCGTGTGACGGAACACATGATGATGCGTCGTTGCGGAGAATACTGACAAAATCACTAGGTTGCTGGTGAATCTGGCCTCGGAAAGACCACCTTCATTAACACCCTGTTCTCCACGACCATCAAGAACTATGCCGACCACAAGCGTCGTCACCAGAAGCAGGTCGACAAGACCGTCGAGATCGAGATCACCAAGGCTGAGTTGGAGGAGAAGTTCTTCAAGGGTATGGCTTGTGCTTGCCAATTCTCGTTATGTGGATCATACGATTAACACGGCTTACAGTCCGCTTGACCGTTATCGATACCCCCGGCTTCGGCGACTATGTCAACAACCGCGACTCCTGGATGCCTATCATCGAGTTCCTCGACGACCAGCACGAGTCCTACATGCTCCAGGAGCAGCAGCCTCGCCGTCAGGACAAGATCGACCTCCGTGTCCACACCTGCTTGTACTTCATTCGCCCGACCGGCCACACCCTGAAGCCCCTCGACATCGAGGTTATGAAGAGACTCTGCTCGAGAGTGAACCTGATCCCGGTCATCGCCAAGGCTGATACCCTTAGCCCTGCGGACCTGGCTAAGTTCAAGGCTCGCGTAAGTTTCAATCGACTTGTTTGTAGAGAGCAAACAGACTGACCATTGGGTGCTACAGATTCGCGCCGTCATCGAGGCCCAGAGCATCAAGATCTACCAGCCCCCCGTCGAGGAGGACGACGAGCCCGCTGCTCAGCACGCCCGCAGCTTGATGGCTGCCATGCCCTTCGCCGTGATCGGTTCCGAGAAGGACGTCAAGACTGGTGACGGACGCATCGTCAAGGGTCGCCAGTACTCTTGGGGTGTTGCCGAGGTCGAGAACGAAGACCATTGCGACTTCAAGAAGCTGCGGTCGATTCTCATCCGCACCCACATGCTCGACCTCATCCACACCACCGAGGAGCTTCACTACGAGGCCTACCGCGCCCAGCAAATGGAGACCCGCAAGTTTGGCGAGGCCCGCCCCAGGAAGCTCGACAACCCCAAGTTCAAGGAGGAGGAGGAGGCGCTTCGCAAGCGTTTCACCGAGCAGGTCAAGATCGAGGAGCAGCGTTTCCGCCAGTGGGAGCAGAAGCTCATTGCCGAGCGCGACCGCCTCAACAAGGATCTCGAGCAGACCCATGCCCAGATCAAGCAGTTGGAGACCGAACTGGAGCAGATGCAGGGAAGCGCCGTCCGCAGCCACGGTCGCCGCTAAGGGCATTCGAACGTGAGGGTTTCCCCTCCATTTTTGAGCGGTTTATTCCTGGGCAATTGGTGCTTGCTGGATTCTCGACACTTTTACCTTTTTTTATTTCTTCTATTCGGGGATCGAGAGCACCAACCCACTGCAATATCGTCTTTTTGACGCGTCATCATGGATATGCTAGCTTCTAGCTCGTCAGAATGAGCACGACTCGTTCGCCTGTACGAGCATCAAGTCCTCACTACCAGTCGAACAATAGGAAGAAAAAAAACAAAGCATGCCCTCTGGGTACGGTATGAGATGGACGTTACATTGGGAGCTCTCTTCTTTCCATGAACCTGTTACCCCCTTTTTCCCGTTTAGTTATCCCCCCCTGTTTCTTAGTCACGATGTAA